TGAGACAGTGTCCTATGACAGAAATAAAAGCTCACTGCAATCCTGGCTCTGGTGAGGGTGCTGTTTTGATGGCAATGTTCAGCTTGATTTTAGGAGTCTTTTCCAGGCTGCCACAGTCCTGGGAGAGGTGGGTAGAAAGCTGAACAACTGCTCAGCAGCCCAAGGAAGGTGAAACGGGATAGCTGTCAGGACGTGTTGTGTAATGCCTTCCAGCACCACTGCGGTTCTGCACTGTGAAGCTTTGGTGGGTGTTCTCCACCTGCTGTGCCCCAGCGAGCAAGCAGTGACCGAGCCCCACACGTGGGGAGCTGGGAGAGCTCGCACTGGTGCGTCAGTGTGGATGTGCGCTGAGTTGTGCCTCGGGCTGGTGAACAAGCTGCTGCTCGTGGCTCACCGCCCACTCGCCGTGGTGATGGGCACGGACAAAACACTTGAGCAGGAGTGTACGGTGTTTGTTTGGTTTTAATCGTAAAGAGAAGTGGTTCAGACATGCCAAGAATGCCAGATGAGATTCTCCCCGGGCTGCCGGGCCCTGCGAAGCACCTCGCAACGTGCGGCCCTGCAGGCCCCCCTGGCAGCCGATCCCCTCACACCCGCCTCCCGCAGCCCGTCCCGAGGGGCCGCCGCGCGGCCGAGGCCCGGCAGAGGGCGGCCGTGGCCCGGCGGAGACCTTCGATCGTCCCCCGCCTTCCCGCCGGAGCTCCGCAGCAACACGGCGGGTGCGGGGGGTCCTCCCTCCCCCGGAGCGGGCTGCGGGCGTGAGCGGAGCTGCGTGAGCTGCGAGCACGGAGAGATTTCAAGGACGTTTCCCTCCATTCATCCCAGTTATGTGCGTCTCTAAAATAGGTTAACGGTGTCTAATTAACCACTGCACATTGTCATGCTGCATAAAGATAGCAGCCTGGCAGTTCTCTGAGCCCTGCTACTTTATCTCCATTTAGATCTCCGTGGTAGTCCATTAAATGAGAAAGAAACAGTTTAACGGAGATGATGTCTACATTAGAGCTGCCTTTCACCTCTGGGCACGGCTGTAGGCAGCTCCCTTTCAGCCGGGCTGTGCGCTGCGGTGCGGGGGGGGGGGGGGGGGGTGGGGGGGGTGGAGGGTTCTGAGATTCAGCCCCCTCTCTGCACGAGGCAGGATTCGGGCCGGCTGGGGCTGAGCGTCGCTCCAGAGCGAGATCACGTTTATATCTTCTGCTCCGGCACAGCTTGGAGACAAATAGGTGGTGCATAGCGGAAGTTGTGTGATAGGATGCACTGGGGTCTGCCGGGGGTCTTCTGCCCCGTCAGAAAGAATGAGAGAAACAAAAGTATTGTTCTCACAAGAGCGGATGATGGCTGGTGTGAATACAGCAGACAGTGCATTTCTGAGCATTGCTCCAGGGACTGTGTTGTTTTGCTTGCCCTTACTTAAGTGTATATTCATGCAGCACAAAGATGCACCAGAGGGTGTTCAGCATAAATGTTAGGAAAAAATTATTTACCATGAAGTTGGTCAAAGGCTGGAAGTGGTTGATGCCTGTCAGTGTTCAAGAGACATTTGGATAATGCCCTTAATAATCTGCTTTAACTTTTGGTTAGCCTTGAATTGGTCAGGCAGTTAGACATGATTTTTGAAGATCCCTTCCATCTGAACCATTCCATTCTATAGTTCATGCACAATTGTTCATTTTATGGATGCTTGTTGCTGTCCTCGCTGGGCTTTGTCTCCTGTTAGAGCAAACAGGAAATGAGGGCAATGCTCTTGTTGCTGAGAACACAAGAAGAGAGTAGAAAATCTATCTATACTGACCTGACTTTACAGTCTATCTTCTTCCATGTCAGTTTTCGCTCATTACTAGAAACTTATGCCCTTAGGGGTGAGTGAGATGCTGTGCACCTGGGCATGATATTCTTTAAAGGATGAAATGTTGGTCTCAGCATGTTGCAATTGGCATTGATAAATCTGAGCCAGTTCTCAGGAATGGCCACTCCACTCCACTTTGAGCAGTGTGGTAACTTTACAAAGAATGCCTGCAGGGCTTCCAGAAGCTGCTGATAGCACCTGGAGACCAAAGGGACAAGCAGGTAGCTGGTCCTGCAGGCACACTGTCTCATGTGCAGCTCAGCCCTTACCCAACCTTATGAAAGGCGCAGGGTTGGAGGCAGGACACATTTCAAGAATTTATTAACAACTTTTTTTGCTTATTGCCTGGATGGTTTTTAACCTCAGGACATGGGCCAAAGCTTGTCCTTTCTCTCTGGGTCACTTTGTTAGGTAGATTTAGATGATGCATTTCAGCCAAAGAAAGCAAAACGTTAGCCAGGAGAACAAACCAAAAATATTTGTGATTTTTTTTCCCCAGCTTGAAACAAGGAATTAAAAAGTAATATGTCATCAGAGAAAATAAAAGGAAGGCTTTGGGTTTGGGACTTTAAAAAAAGAAAGCTGGTTTTTATCTTCTTTACCTTAACTCGGTCATCAAGGTCACAGGGAGTGTAAAACATGAAATTCTTACAGAAGTTTCATACCATATATCCCAGATAGTTCTCTACCCATGAGCTGGTTTGAAATGCCAGTTTCATCAAATGATGCTATTCCAAGTCATGTATTAACAAACCTCTGTTGTGCAGGTGACTGAAATTAGATGTCTCACCTAAACAGAACAGCAGTCATTTCTGTCTCCTGCTCTGCTTCCATTGGTATTTAAATGCTCTCTATAAATGGGAGTACTGTCGATGTAACATACTTTCCTCCACTGCCACCTCTGTTCCCTGAAGCATGGGGACTGGACTGACAGTGGGGCTTTAGCTAGCCCTGGAGAGACAGGAGGGTGTTCTAACAGCCAGGCTCTGGCGTTACAGTGAGCAGTACTGCCGTCCCTTCCTGGTTTATTAATTTATTCTCCACATTACTGTTTTTTTTTTCAATGCGGTGCAGTTATTTCATAATAAAGTAAAGCTATTTGGCAAGCTTGCAGATAGTTTTGGGAGTGAAAAAACTGCCTTCTGGAAGTGTGTACGAATCTGAGTATTCTGTACAAATTATGAAAGTATTGAGTGCAGACAGAAAATTAAACCTAAGTAAGAGTACTGATACCCCCAACAAAGCTGTCTGGATTTGGAGTCATCTAGATCAGTGAAGTGAACTCTTATAATTTATATTTTCTTACTGCCTTCAATGAGTCCATTTATAACATAATCAGGAAGAGTCTGGAAAGCTTGAAGTCTGAGAAAGAGCAGAATAGTCTCTGCCACTAGGACTAAATATGACTGCGTTCCCAGTGGGCCACCTGCATATCTATCAGGAGAGGGAGCTCAGGAAAAAGAAACAGCAATTGCTTGCAGGGATAGCAAGGTGTGACCCTCTCCTGGGAAGTATAAACATGTTTCACTCCTGCCTGGGAACAGGCAGCGAGCAAGAATGTAAGAAGCGTGAGTGCTGAGGGAAAAAAAAAGGGTTATTTGGGGCTGGACAATTAGCAAGAATAATGGGATCGTGCTAAGGAGAGGTTAGATAGAACCTCCAGGAAATGATCCCACTGCGAGTGCCAAGGGGTCTGAAGACAGGCTGTGGGAAGCAGTTCCGTGAAGGCAGAAGGGAGAGGGAGAAAATGGGATAAATCATGTATCATCTTTTCATCTCTGGTCAGATTCCAAACTCTGTTGTGAGCTGGCAATGGACTCTGATCCATTACTTTCTCTTTCTGCAGCATCAGGAGGTCACAAATGTGTTTTGCACTATCACTGGGGAAAATGACTTAACTGGACAATTACTCCCCACTGAAAGAACTCTCCTAAATTCATAACTCCACTGTACTTCTGCTGGAAGCTCAGGTGCAGGTGTCACTTATGTGGCTGTAGTTCTGACCATAGCAGTGATATCACTGGACTATTATTACTTATAGGGTCTAACCTTTAGCCTCTCACAGACTGCAAGCTCCAAGGAGAGCAATGGAGACAAGGATCTTTCTTCTTTTCGTATTTAGACATTGTCTTGCTCTTAGGAGAGTGGACTGTTCATAGGAGGACTCAAAGAGGCCTGTGGCCTCATCAGAGAGAACTGATGAGAAGTCTGCCTGTTTCATGGAAGGGCTTTGAAAGGTGAAGTGCACGGGGGTGCAGCAGCTTCTCTCACATCTTGGTGTGTCCTGGGACAGTGCATGTGGTAGAGTAGGGCCCCATGTGCTATTGTCATGGTGCTCTGACTTGAGAGAGGGGAGAATATTTATTCCTAATGCATAGAGATGAAACTTCACTCTGCAAAATGGCCAAAGCAATCAGTGAGTGATGAAGTATCTGCTAAAAAGAAACCTGGCATTTAATTAACTTTTCAAAGTGCTGGTTCAGCAACCTCCATGTTTTACATTTTGAATATTGAACAAGCATCCCTAATCGGAACTGAATTACTTCTGGGCTTGCTGGGGTGGAGAGCAAGGGAGCTGCCATTTGCCAGTGCCTCCCCCCCACATTATTATTATGAACTTCTGTTAACTCAGCCGGATCAACCCTGATTTACTGCAGCGACAGTATGTCTGACCTGAACTTGGCCTGCTCAGATAGAGCTCCTAACCCTCAGAGGCGACCACATAATCTTTAAGCACAACCAAGGGCTAGAAGAACCTGTTGCTCTCAGGGGAAGGTAGACAAATTATACTTTCTTTATTGCTCCTTAATGTGCCATCCTCTGCACCCAGGTAAGGCAAGCTTTGCCCACAGTTGATGTCAGAGAATATGAAAAAAGTATCTGAGAAACTGAAAAAAACAGGGACTCTGTTCCTTGCTGTATCTGGACCTGATTGTCTTTTGGGACTCAGATGATTCTGCTTTATCTTGATGCACTCAAGGACTTTTTGATGCCTTGGTTTAGTGGTCAGTAAGAACTCTTTACAGGTGTGATGTGTGATATTAGACTTGGTTGCAGGAACTGTTTTATACATTAAGAGTGATACAGAGAAATATATGTTTTTTAATATATCTTTCTAGACTTTTCTAAGCACAAGCTTTTCCTTGTCTTGCAGGTCAGGAAAAAAGCATGCAGAAGAAGTAGAAGAGTAAGTTCCCATTGTTGCTGAGACTTCTTTCACAACTTCTACATCTGATTTCATAGAGAAAGGGGATGCAACTCTCTTAGCTCCTGTACATCAAGATCTGGAATCTGGGGTGGATGCAGAGCCTGGCATAAATTCATGCATTGGTCATGGGTCAGGACTGGTTGCTCTGTAGTTCCCTGGATACAGAGTTTATGGTGGCTGTGTCATTCCCATGTGAGACAAAGAAGTGGAACATGCCTGCTTTCCCAGCAGACTCATGCCAGGCTCTGCTGTCTAAGCCACGTGTAATAACCTAAGTATTTGCCGCAGATATGAGGCATTGTAGACTTGTGGGGAAGAAGAAGATGGAAGAAGATGCTTCTTTGGGCTTTCATTTGAAATTCTTTTCACCTTGTGTTTTGTTGCAGTCATCGTCTCAGGCAGCAGAGCCAGGAGGTATCCAGTGAGGGAGGAGGTATGTTTTCACCTACTTGATGCCAGAATTGCCTTTATACCTGTCTGGGGGTTATCCAGTAAAGTGAGCAGAGGCAGCTATCTGGTAAGAAATGGCTAGAGAATGAATCAGCTTGAGGAGAGAAACAAATGTGGCTGCTGTTTAAGTCTCACAGCTGCTGAATGGAGGAGAGAGAGCAAAGAAGATTGAGAGAACGATGATGAAATGAACCTACAGTCTAGGTCTGTCTCTTCATTGACACAGAATAATAAATGCCTTGAGGAAGAAAGAAAGTGTCATAGGGACACTTCTCTGTGATTACCTCCATAGGGATAATAGTGTACTGGGAAAGAAGAAAGCTAAAAGTCTGATAAAAAGGTAAAAGCAGGGATAGAAATCACTGCTGTCCCCTAGTTTAGGTGATAGCAGGCTCTGCTTAAAGCTCTTCTTGTGTTTTGTGATAAAAGCTTTATCTTGTGCCTATCAGGACAAGTGCTTGCACAGTTTTCTTAAGGCATCTGTCATGAGAGAACTCGTTATTTAAGAAAAACACTTGCACTAATGCAAGATCTTAGATCATAAGCTGAACTTACTCTGGTGGGTTATCGTACTGGACTCCTAACTTACCACTGCTAGTTTTCCACACGGTTTATATTACCTACGCTTATAGGACTGATTGAAGCAAGAGAAAGCCCAGGAAAAATCTGTAGTAGGAAGTCCTAGGCAAACAGTGGAAGGCCATGGATGTAGAAATTCATTGAAGTCTCTAGCAGCTACCTCAATTTTCAAGGGCTAAGAATTTTATACAGTGTATAAAAAGTTGCATCTGTAAAATGTTGCCAAGCATTAAGAAAATTACTGGAAGTCACAAAGGATGAGACATCAATATGTTTAATGAGACTAATTAGAAGACTTATTTGGGTCTTCCAGACAGATTAAGCACAGCAGCATATGACTGCCTGAAGTGGCACCTTTATAGCACTGGCATCTTCAGAATAGATTTAATTTCCCCCGTGGGATGTTTTTTGGGCTTCTTAAATTTCATGATATATCACTGAGGCTGATAGTCTGTTCTGAATAGCTATTTGTCTGTTTGCATGTGTGCTGTCCTTCTTGTTGAACCTTGGTCTTGTATTCAGAGTATAATAACTTTCTTTGCTAACCAGGTATAAAAACTTGCCAGATGTTTGCAGCATATGACTTTTAGTGCTTGGATTATAAATACAGAATATGTTGGGCTATAAATACAGAATAGAATTGATACAGAACATGGTATGAAGACATGATAGGTTGTAATACGCTTCCCTTATTTACTTGTACCTAATTTGTGGCTTGTAGTTAGTTTTGGCTTGTTTGCTAATCAGAATTCAACTTTGGACTATATGCATGTGTTAGAAGAAGGATCCTGCAAACGTTACTGGGAGATCCCACCCGGGCAGTTGCTCGTATAATCAGATACACTGGTTTGTAGATCTAATTCTGATATGGAAAATCTCTGAATGATCAATACATTGCATGCTAGTGGTCCTAGTGGTACAGGGAAATTAAACAGACTGATTCTGGGAGAGCAGTTCTCTGTGTGGACTCAGCAATTGCAGTGAGGACAGGTAACATATAAACTCCAGAACCTGATTAAAAATGCTTCTGCAATTAAGCAGAGGGGTACATAAGAGCTGGCCAGTGCAGAAGGCATGCTGTGGTTGTGCCTTAAATTGAGTCATATTGGCCTCCCCTGCACACAGTGAAGGGCTTGTGTCCTTAACTGTAGCAGTAAAGCCCAGATTCTAACCACCCTTAAATCAAGACATTGGTGTATGGATCCCCAAGGATGGGTCATGGTTATTTTTTGCTGCATAATGTGTTAGCTTGTACAACTTAATATGAACAGGCGCGGTTGCCTACTGATTGCTGCTGTCAACCAGTACATTTGTATTACCTTCCTTTGCCCTATTAGAAAGCTTAGCTGTACCATTCCATTAACATTGCTTGTCCGCTGTCCAACCTTTTTATTTAAAGAATGAAAGACAAAACAGTCTGCCCTTAAAAAGATAGCTTACGTATCTGAAGTGTGCTCAGCTGTAATCGTCTGTATGGCACTAAAGCTCAGAGGCTTAGAATTTGGAGTCTGTTGGAGGAAGCACTGAAAAATGACAAGCCCTGGAGAGAATCCATGGTTTGGCATGTGGAGAATGTGGGCGTGTGGGAGAGAAGGACAGTTGGTTCTCAGAGTGTGGGAAGGTTGTGTGAAGACTGGACTACACAGGAGCATCATATGTGGAACTATATGCATTTTCAGCCACTCCTTACAGTTGCACAGGGCAACCCAGGTGCAAGTCATCCACACTTTGCAAGATAAACCACTGAAATATTAGTAGTGAAGTGTCTTGGCTCAAGCTTTGCTCAGAATTCATTTTCTTTAACCTGTATTTCTTCTTCATTGAGGCTACTCCAGGACAAGAGAGCCATTTTAAAAAGGAGCCAGTTTTGAGTTATAGGGATCAAAGAAACGTGTTTCACTAAAAGCACCATCCTTTAAAACTGCAAGCTGGAAAGACTGATATGAAAAAGTACAGTATCTCTCCAGCAGCAGTTCTGGTGCATTGTCTGATGGATTCTGGGGTTTCCTACAGTGCCTTCCTTCTCTGAGCTCAGTGCCCACCCTCCTGAGCAGTCACTGGTACACGTTAGAACATAGTCACAGCAAGTGGATAACTAATGTTCCTTTGTGAGGTTGTTGTGTGTCCAACCGAACTGTGGTGCAGCCCAGCTCCTCTGTACCATGGAAAACTCGCTTTAACAGGATTTAATGCATCACATCTTAAGGAATAATAGACTTTCACAAGCCTCAAAAAATGTTTAATTCCTAGAGGACAGGTCTAGTTGAGTTACTTTCAGCCAGGGGCAATTGGGGGCTTAATGCCATGTATGTAGCAATCTGGGCAATCTAAAAGAGAGGAGTTTAAGGGTAATTGCTCAATTTTCTGTCCATGTCAACAGGGAAAACGGGCAGCTGAGTCTGAGTGCTGTAGAGCCAGGAGACTGCAGGTGGGAGACAATCAGGAGAATTTAACAAGTGCTTTCTGTAACAGCCATGAGCAGTTTCTCCCCACTACAGACTATTCTTTGTCGTAAAGTGGGAGGAGGACAGGACAACTGAGTATATGTGAAAGGGCTTTCTCCTCCCTTTGCTCCTTTCTCCAGCAGGATTGTAGAGTCTCTGCTTCTGCTTTGTTTGGGTTTGTTTTACTTAGCTTGTGCGTGACTTTACTCAGCTTGTGTGTCTCATTCTGACATGCAGCTACACTCTTCTATCAGCACACAACTTTGTTGTATAAAAGTTTCCTCTATGTTCTATTCTTGTCCACCTGTTCTGCTCCACTAGGTTCCACACCCTGGATGCCTGTCTCCTCACTGCATGGTCCTTGGGCTTTTCCTCTTAGCACTGGAGCAGGGGTCTGTTAACTGATATTATCATCTGTTCTCCCTGCTCTCCTTCTTTTACAGACTGTTCTCCCATCTTCAGAAATCTTTTGCCCCTTTCTCTCTTACTCTTGCATAGCTCCTAGAACAGGGCTTTTGGTGGAGAATTGGGCTGTGACACATGTGATACTCTGTCTATGGGAACAACAGCTTATTTTAAAGCAGATAGTGTGGGTGAATGAGGGAGCTGATTGAAATGAAAGCCTGCCTGTGCTCACAGACAAGCCGGACGTGACCTGCAGGTGAGGAAAGCTGCCAAGAGACAGTCACTGGATCTGTGCCCTCAAGGCAAAATCCCTTCCTGCCTGCTGGGAAGCCTCCTCGAGGAAGCAGAGCTGATGATGAGACCTCTCTATACAATGTCAAATCTTTAGAAGGACTTCTTACCCTTCTGGCATGTGGCAGCAGCTCCTTTGCATTTGAGCAGGATAGGAGTCCAGGCTCTGAGTGTAACAGGAGCAGTAGAAAATGTGTTAGTGCTCCATTGAATATTAATCTTACTTGCTTGGGGAAAAGAAAAAAAAACAACAAAAAACAAACAAACAAAAAAAACCCAACAAGAAATGGAGAAAGTGGGCATGTGCCCTGGTCCCTGCATCGACCTGGGAGCGATGTCAGTCAGGTGGAAGGGTAGCACAGGATATGGCCATAAAATACCAAACACCTTACAAGCTGCATGCAAATATGCAGCAGTGCTGAAATTACTCTGAACAGAGCTGAGAGTAAGGGCACAAGGTGATTGCTGCCTGCGTTATTCTTGATGAAGTTTGCGAGTTGCTTCCTGGTGAGCTGCTGTTCTGACAGAACACGCCAAGTGCTGGTGGTTTCCGGGGGCTGTGACTGCAAGGAGTGTATGACAAAGAAAGCCTTATCAGCCAAGCACGAGCCAGAAGGGTGAGAGCTGGTAGATGGGAAGCTGGACATAAGCCAGCGATGTGCCCTTGCAACCCAGAAAGAACTGTCTCCTGGGCTGCATCAAAAGAAACTTGGCCAGGTCGAGGGAGGTGATCCTGCTCATCTACTCTGCACTGGTGAGGCCTTACCTGGTGTACTGCATTCAGATGTGGAGTCCTCAGTACAGGACAGACATGGACCTGTTGGAGCATGTCCAGAAAAGGGCTGCAAAAATGGCACAAGGGATAGAACACCTTTCCTGTGAGGATGGGCTGAAAGAACTGGGACTGTTCAGCATGGAGAAGAGAAGGCTCCAGAGAGACCTGAGAGCAGCCTTTCAGTATCTAAAGGGAAGCTACAGGAAAGATGGGGACAGACTCTTTGGCAGAGTCCGTGGTGATAGAATAAGGGGAAATGGTTTCAAGCTTAAAGAGGGTAGATTTAAGTTAGATGTAAGGAAGAAGTCTTACACAGTGAGGGTGGTGAGGCACTGGAACAGGTTGCCTAGAGCGGAGGTAAGATGAGAGGAGGTTTCTGGAGACTCTCAAGGCGGGGCTGGATCAGGCCCTGGACAACCCGATTTAGCTGTGGTGTCCCTCTTCCTTGCAGGTCAGTTAATCTAGATGTCCTTTAAAGGTGCCTTGCAA